AGCTGAGGCTGGGGTGAGGGGAAGTGGCTGGTGAGATAAGCAGCCTCCATCTACCAGAGATAGGGATCCAGGCTAAGGGCGTTGGACTTGCTTTGAGGACAACAGAGATCTGTGGAAGGTTTTTAAGCAAAAGACATGGTATGCTCTCATTTGCGTTTTAGAAAGACCACTTTGGTGTCCAGGTGGAAGGTGAACTGGCAAGGGTGATGCTGGCCCAGGAGGACCAGTATTGCAGCTATTCCATCCCTGAGCAGGCCCTCAGACAGAAACCAGGCAACTATGCTGCTATTGCTACCGGATGTCTTACTTTTCCAGCTTAATAGTATTGTAGACCTGCCTGGACCCTGGAGTATTAAAGAAAAGACTGAAACTGGTTTGGCTTAGAAACCAGTAGGTGGACATTTTCTTTACTTTATTATGCCTTTAAGGATCATGAAGTCACAAAAATGAAAAAAAACTTAGGTTTTAACATTTCACATTCTTCTCCCAGTTCAGCACTTCCTTCTTCCTTCATATTAACATTCCATTCCCCACAAGTCATCATCTGGAGAGATGGGAGAACAAGACTGAGAATGCAAACTTCTGAGAGAGTTTTGTCCTCAGAGGGCTAGTACTCTCTAGGGCTCTCTAGTACCTCCACCAGCTACAGACTCACTGATAATTGGCCAAATGAATCGAGGCTTTCTCCACATATCGACACCAAGATTATGGCTCACTGGGGGTCAGCATCAACAGATAAAACACAAAGTTACTTTACTTCTACATGTCAGCTAGGGGATGTCTGTTATTTATCTATTGCTGCCTAACCAATTACTCTAGAATTTAGTATCTCAAAACAACAATCATTTATTCTCTCTCTGTCCTTCTGATCAGGAATGTAAGAGCAGCTTACCTGGATAGTTCTGACTTAGAGTCTCTCATGAAGTTGCAGTAGGCTGTCAGACAGGGCTGCAGTCATCTGGGACTGGAGGGTCCCCTTCCAAACACACTCACAGGGATTTGGCAGACCTCAGTTCCTCTTGGCTACTGTCTGGAAACTTCAGTACTTCACCATGTGGGCCTCTCCATAGGCTACCTAAGTGTCTTCATAATATGATGGCTGACTTCCCCAAGAGTGAGCTGTTCAAGAAAGAGAGAATACATCCAAGATGGAAGCCACAGTCTTTGTATAGACTAATCTCAGAAATGTCATGCTGTCTTTGATAGTACTCCATTTGTCAGAAGTAAGTCTCTAAGTGTAGCTAGCCTACACTGAAGGGGGAGGAGAGCTCATCTCCACCTTTTGAAGGGAGATTAACAAAGAATTTGTGGGTGTATTTTAAGAACCATCACAAGGTGGTTTTAAGCTCCAACAGTCAATATGACACAGTGGTTAAGAGCATACATTTGAGATTCATAAAGATCTAGGTTTAATTGTGGCTCTCACATTTGCTACTTATGAAAGTTTAGGCAAGTCATTTAACCTTTCTGGATCTCAATTTCCTAATCTATAAAAGAGAGCTAAGAATAGTAAATGTTTCATTGGGATGCTGTGAGAATTAAATAAGATCATACATGTAAAGTCCTTGGCACAGAAAGAGTACTCAATAAATAGTACTTAATTGCTATCAGAATGGAATAATATTGTCCTCCTTCACAGAAGACAGGATAGCACAGAGGTTTGCAACAGTTTTTTGAGTCAGACTCCCTGGGTTGGGACTCTGACTCTGCCATTCATTGGCTGTGAGAACCAGGGCAAGTCACTTCATCTCTTTTGGCTTTGATTTTCTGTAAGATGCAGATAATAATAGCTAGTACCTGGTTGCCTGATAGGTGTTCAATACATATATTTTATGAATAAGGAAACAGTGGATAATAGAGGGTTATAATAACAAAGGATACTTGTGTGTGTGTGTGAAGGATGTTTAAAGCACATTTGACTTCAAATAACTTGTGCTTAACTGGGGAACCTGATATGGTTGCCCCAGTGCCTTTTGAGTGTGCCCTTATACCCTTGAGCATGTCAGTCAATGTGAGCTCTATGGTTTGACCATCTTTTATGGGTTGTTCTTGGTTTCATTGTTTGCATTCTGTTCCATCCTGGCTTTGTTTGAGCACACTTTCTTCATCTCTGCTACCTCCACCAAGAATATGTTTAATTGGCTTTGCACCGACTCTGGAGATTTGGTGACGGGAAGGGGTGGGGTAGTCCCATGTCACACCATCTCAGAGCTGCTACATTACCTTAAATTGATTTTGCAAATGAAAGCTAAAAGCTAAGCAAAGGCGACCCATCCATTTTGCCTAAAGATGATTATAATGCTCTTTTACGGCCTCCTAAATGACAAAGCAATTTGTTACCTGCCTACATCAACATTTGCTTATATTAGCACCCGAGATGTTTGATTTTTATTAGCCCCACGTTATCATTTTATGAAGACACAGGGGCTCAGTAAAATTAGTGTGCAAATAGAATGCCCATTTTGCATTTCCCTGTGGTCAGCAGAAATACTGAATGCAATTGAGTTGATACTGGGTCGGGGAGACATCCATAAAGTTAGCCTTCACCAAGGGCCTCAGCAATGCTATTTATCATTTCTAGACTGCTGGGATAGACGGGGTCAGTGTTAGACGGTGTTTTTTAAAAGGCTTGTGATTTTTTTTTTTAAGTGAAAAAGCAATACAAATACTAAGACAGTAGCTCAATTTCCATCACAATAAGAGATGAAACAAAGCTCTCTTATGTACATGGTAGATGGAAATGCAGCAGATGTGGAATCTCACACTGTTATTAGTGGATCCGGAGTGAGATAGAAAGGGTGCTGGGCTTGACTCTGGCACTCGACTGTATGATTTGGATGTGCCCCTTTGTTCTGCGAGTCTCAGTTTCTTCACCTGTGAAATGAGGTTAATACTGTCCACCTCACAGAGGCAAAATAAAATGATAAGAGTCTAAATTGATTTACAAGTCTTGATCAATACAAGTATTTTATTGATTAATTCGCCATCAGTTCCTGAGCACTTATTCCATGCAGGTTCCTGGAGAAAACATTAGAGAAACATACTCATCCAGGATACGTTCAAGTGTCTAATTCCTCTTTAAAATGTAAACTTCTTTAGGATGGGTGAGCCTTCTCTCTCCCTTTATTCCTACAGGTGCTTAGCATAGAGCTGAACAAAAAATTAGTTCTCAAAAATGTATTTTTGTTCCACTGTATTTCTTGCTGCCTTTCAGGGGAGACAGTGACCCCAACCCTTACTGGTCACCCCAGTGGACCAAGCAAGTCCCAAGCCTTTAGAACTAGGTTGAGTAGAGTTCATATTTTTTACTTTCATCTCTGACTGTTGGAATGATTAACCACATTCAAAATGACCTGTTTCCAGCATTTCGGAAAGAGAAAGCCTATTATCATTTCTACATTCTCTCCCTCCAGATCATCCTCTAACATACATGGAATTCTTTAATCCAATGTCTCTCAATGTTTCATTTAGGCACAATAGCTAAACTTTATTATACAAGTTAGACTTCTGTAAGGGCAGAAAGAGCTTGGATTCTGTTCTGGAGTCATCTTTTCCTACTTTTCTGCATGTCTAATAATTTTTTATTGGATGCTGGATATTGTAAATTATACATGGTTGACTGTTCAGATTTTGTTGTCTTCTTCTAAAGAGAATTGTGCTTTGTATAGCAAGCAGTTAAATTTATTTTATTCAGTTTGATCCTTGTGAGACTTATTTTAGAGCTTTGTAAAATGAGTCTGGAGTAGTTTAGCCCCACCACTAAGTCATGGCTCTTCTGAATTCTCCTGCTCCCCAAATGATCAATAAAGACTTTCACTTTGGTGATATGAATCCAAATGATTCCTAGTCCTGTGGGGTCTCTGAGAACTGTGCAGTTCACAGCTCCCTGTCCATTCTTTCCTGACATCATGGAGAGTCACCCTATGCATGTACAACTTAGGACCCAACAAAGACTCAAGAAGACTCCTTTTTTCTGGAACTCTTTTTCTGTAGAGCTCCCTCCTCTCTGGGACTCAGAGTTCCCCACAACTACTACCTGTTGAACTTGAATCTCAGTGAGACTTTAGTGCTCTTTTCAGGATGCCCTTCCCTGCTCTTTGGTCTAGAATGGACTGTCAGGCAAAAAGCCAAAACAATTGCAGGGCATACCTCATTTATTTCCCATCTCTCATGGATTATCTTGCACTGCCTCTTGATCAGTGTCTAAACATTGTGGTTTTTAAAAATTTTGTTCAACTTTCTAATTGTTTAAGAGAAATAGTTTCCCTGAAGTAACAGGCAGATTTGGTCCCAGTTACTTCATCAAAGTCAGACAAGGGCTTGGGTTCTAATCTCAGCTCCTACCACTACCTATTAAGTGTGTAACCTTGAACAAGTTATATAACATCTCTGAACCCCACTTTCTGCCTCTATTTTTAAAAAGTATTAACAACATATTACTGTAAGGAATATATATATATATATAGTACCTAGCAGAAAAGATGCGAATTAAATGGCAGCTGCTACTCTTACTATTACTAATATAAATAGCTACCTCCTTTACTCCGTCATTTACTGAATGTTTACTGTGTACTATGTAGTATGTAGCACATAAGCTTGTTAAATCATTACGACAACCCTATGAAGTAGATATTTTAACTTTGCTTATAGATTAGAAAATTGAAACTTAGAAAGTATATAAAATGTTCCTGGGGTCACAGTCAGTTAATTTGGGATTCATATTCACTTGTATGTCTCCCTCAAATGATTGTAAATATTATGTATTAATATAATATAATCACTTGCACCAAGGACAGGAAATGTAGTCTTTTAATATTGGGTAGCTAGGCACATAATTAAATTACTCAGCAATGGCTGGGTCTTAATGGTTCTAACCCAACAATTTAAGAGATCAAGGTAAAGCTTCTGTCCATCCCCCACAGGGCTCCCTCCCACACACCAACCCCTTGTCTCAGCTTCCCTTGCCCTCCTTAACAACCTTATTCCATTTTATCTTGCAGACAATCTCCAGGAAGGGGCAGAGCAGAAGGTGGTATTCATCACAGGACGAGTCCACCCAGGGGAAACACCTTCTTCATTTGTGTGCCAAGGTGAGTTGCAGGATCTAATGGGTGCCCTATGCCTACCCCCTCCATTCATCTGGGGCACTGTGATAATCTCTGGGCCAGCATGCTCACATGCAGAGCCATTATCTTGGATGGGAATTTACTTTACTTGTTTAAAGAGGTTGTATCTGATTTCCACTGGGTTTTATTTCGATAAGTGTTTATTGATTACATGTGGGTATGAATGAATGAATGAATAGGTAGAGCTGAATGAAGTTGGTTCATATGTGTCATGCTGAGGACAAGCCATCCAGAGCCATACATTCCTAGCTTTACTAGTCTCCAGTGGTTTACAACAGCAAGAAATCTGGTCCCAGGTCAATGTGAATGTTGGTAAAAGGACCATGAAATGGGAGGTAAGGACTGAAAATTATCTATTCACTAGTTACTCAATCATTCACTTAACAAACAACTTTTGAAATACCTGCTATGAGGAAGCAAACACGCTTAGCATCAGACAACCAGAGGGAAAGAAGACATAATTATTCTGCTCAAGTGTTTTTATTTATAGCTGCATTTTATTTATTGTTAAATATTTAATCCGTGCTATATTTAATTAGTAGCTATAGTCAGAGTATAAATATATTCAATAAATAAGATATAAATGATAAAATAATGAGTGCTCCAGTACCCACCAGTTTAAATAGCAGAATATTATCTACTCTACTCTTTAGTTTTGTGTCCCCCTTCCTGCTCCCCTCATCCTGCAGATAACCATCAGTTTTTATTTTGTATTTGTCACTCTTTAATGCTTTATCCTTCTGAATAGCTTTATAATGTATATAAGCATCCCTAAACAATGTATTTTTAGTTCTACATGTTTTTGAACTTTATAAAAATAGTATCACTCTATATGCCTTGGGATTTGCTTCCCATCCAGTAGCCATATTGGTGAGTGTAGCCAAAAGTAACCTGATTTTCACCATTGTATTTTATTCCATGTCCGTGTATAGCCCAATTTATCTCTTGTCCCCTGATGATGGATAATTAAGTTGCTTACAATATTTTTTCTTACAAATGATGATTCTACAAACATTTCTTATACATGTTGCTTTTTGCACATGTACAAATACTTTCTTAGGATGTATAACCCAGGAATGTAATTGGTGGATCATGGGATGTGTGCATTTTCAACTTCACTAGATATTTTCAAATTTCTCTCCAAAATATACACTGCTATGCTACCACCAGCAATGTATAAAAGTTCCTGCTGTCACCAGGCTTGGTGGCTCATACCTGTAAGCCCTGTATGTTGGGAGGCCAAGGCAGGAGGATCACTTGAGCCCAGGAGTTTGAGACCAGCCTGGGCAACATAGTGAAACACTGTCTTTACCAAAAAAAAAAAAAATTAAAGTAAAAAAAACTAGCCAGGTGTGGTGGTGTGTGCCTGTAGTCCCACTTGAGAAGCTGAGGTGGGAGAATTGCTTGATCCTAGGAGGTATAAGCTGTGGTGAGCCATGATCATACCACTGTACTCTAGCCTGGGTGATAGAACAAGACCACAACTCAAAAAAAAAAGTTCCTACTATCCCACATTCTTGCCACTACTTTTTCTTTTTCAACTATCTGGCAGGTGCATTACAAGTAAAATATGTGCTACTATGTGTGTGCCAAGCACTCTTCTAAGCACTTTATATAGTTTAATTAATTAATTTTTATTAATGCAATTTATTTAATTATATTAATGTTCTATATCACAGGGACTAAAGTTAACTGTCTTTTACATTTGAGCAAACTGAAATTTGGAGAAGTTAAGTAATTTATCCCTTTTTAAATGTATGATTCCATTTTTATTTTATTTTATTTTTTACTAAGTTAGGGTTACTTTGTTATGTATGGCTCCATTACTCCTGTGAGTTCATATGAAATGTACAGAATGGAAAAATCTAGAGAGACAGAAAAGAGATTGGTTGTAGATATGGGCTGGGGGGGGTAAAGGGTCTGACTGCTAGTGGATGTAGGATTTCTTTTTGGGGTGAATTTATCTCATTCTAATTTCAAAATGACCATGAGGTCAAAGAAATGTGAAAAGACCTACAGAGGCACTATCCTTGCTGCAGTGGAAGTGTCTGGGAGGTTTTTTGTTTGTTTATTTGTTTGTTTTTAGTCAGAACCTCACTCTGTCACCCAGGCTGAAATGCAGTAGCACACTCACCACCACTGCAGCCTCGAACTGATGGGCTCAGGTAATCCTTCCACCTCAGCCTTTCAAGCAGATGGAGCCACAGGCATGTGCCACCATGCTCGGCTAATGTTTTGATTTATTGTAGAGATGAGGTCTCGTCATGTTGCTCAAGCTGGTCTTGAACTCCTGAGCTCAGGCAATCCTCTCATCTCCACCACCCAAAGTGCTGGGGTTACAAGTGTGAGCCACCATGCCCAGCCATGTCTGGGATTTGAAATCAGACAATCCTGAGGTCAAATACTGGCTGTGCCACTTCCTAGCAGTGTGACTTCAGTTTCCTCAATGTGAAATTAGAATAACAATGCTATCTAAGAAGGCTGTTGTGAAGCTGGCATGAAATGACTGGAAACAGCACACCCAGTCTTGTGCCTGGCACATAGCAGGCACTCTACAGATGTCACCTCCTTCCCCATGGGAGTCTGCAAAGATGAAGCAGGTGATCTGCTTTGTAAACCATCAAGCATTGTGCAAAAAAACATGGACTGTATTTTCCCAGTTCATATTCTTACAATGCTGTGATTAGGCATGATGGTCTCCCTCTTTCCATCAGATGAGGAGACTGAGTTCCAGAGAGGGACTGCGACTTGCCCAAAGCCAAGCAGCTTGTAAGTGGTGTGGCTAGGGCTCCAGTCACTGTAGCTGACTCCTTAGCATTCTCATGTTGACCCCTCTGCAGCATTGTCCTTATGGTAACCTCTTCAGGTCCCTCCTGGGTTTACCAATCCCTTTACTTGCAGCCATCTGTCCAAGTTACCAAACTTGGCAGCAGATCTGTTCCCCCAGCTGATTGGATGTAACTGCTTTGAGCTTGTTGGTAAAAAAAGATGGTAGTCTTACCCTCCATACCTTCATCTCTGGGATCCCAAACCCTATACTTATCTCTGCTATGGGCAGGAGACAGAGGGCAGTGTCACCATCCCATTTTACAGATGAAGACTGAGGCACAGAGAAGTTGAGTGGACTTCGGGTACGGTCTCTGATGACTATTTCTTTTCTTTCTTTCTTTCTTTCTTTCTTTCTCTCTCTCTCTCTCTTTCTTTCTTTCTTGTTGGTATCTCACTCTGTCACCCAGGCAGGAGTGCAGTGGCACAATCACAGCGCACTACAGCCTCGACTTCCTGGGCCCAGGTGATCCTTCTGCCTCCACCTCCCGTCTTCCGAGGAGTTGGGACTACAGGCATGCATGACTCTGCTGGGCTAATTTTTTGATATTTTGCATAGATTAGGTCTTGTTATGTTGCCTAATCTGGTCTTGAACTCCTGGACTCAAGCAATCCTCTCGCTTCAGCCCCCCAAAGTGCTGGGATTACAAGCATGTACCATTGTGCCTGGCAGACCCTGTTATCTAAAAAAGAAACTTTGGATGGTTCTGATCTGATACACTCAATGTTGTCCTGTAGGCTTTTGATGAATGTCACCCTTAACAGAGCCTTTCACTGTCTGCCCACTGCCTTCAGTCCTCCATGATCTGGCTCTTGCCAGGTTCTCTGGCCTCAGTTCCATCACACTTCTGCCCCACACAGCTTAGTCCCTGAATGGGTGATCTCTCTTCCCCACCTTGCCTTTGCACCTGCTACTCCCTCTGCTGAGAAGGTCCTGCATTCACTCCTTGCCACCCAACAAGCCCCTCCCATCTTCCAAGGCTGATTCTGAATACCCCACTGTGGGGGCCTCCCTGACCTCTCCCCCTTGCCATTTGTTTTGTGCCTATGTTGTGGATCCAAAGGTGAACACCATCTTTATTGATGACAGACCATCTTTATTGTCCTGATTTGTGATGGTATATTTGGTTTATGTTTGCTCTTTCCTCTTTAAATAAACCATGAGCTATGTAAGGTCCAGGGTTGGGTCTCCAACTATCATTTCTCACATCTATAAAATGGGGTTGGCTTATTCATCTTATGGGGCTGTTGGAAGGAATAAATGAAATATTGAGTTCAGAGAGAGTTCCCTTGTCCCACTCAGAAATGGGAAATGCTAGAAGGCCAAGTTTTGTATCTGGAAGAACTCAGAATTCTGACCACGCCACAACAACTGATGTGCATTTTATAGATGAGGATGTGGAGTCTTGGGGAAATAAAATGACTTACCCAGAGTCACACGGCTAATTCATGACAGATGTAGCGCTGGAGTACAGGTCCCCAATCCTGTTCCTCCTCTTTCCCTGCCTCTATATCTGTCCCTTAGACACATTATTCATACTTCCTTGAGGCAGCATAAGATAGGCATCATTACACCACTTTATCAGTAAGGGACTGAGGCACAGTCTGCCTGGGAGGGTCTCTCGGTCACATGGGAACTGCCCAAGTCATAGACCCACAGGGCAGACCTGAGGGTTTCTTCCCCAGTCATGACCCTAAGCTTGGTCCCCCTCCTCAGCACCTTGTTCTGGGGATAGCAGGCAGGTCCAAGGCCTGGACAGATGATGACTGAAATACCTTCGATTCTGTTAACTCTTCCCCATTAACTGGCTTAGTGACCTTGAGCGGGTAACAGGCTTGTGAGGCCTGGTTGTGCCCATCTGGCTGGGACCTCATTCATGCTGCCGAGCTGCTGATGCACCTGTTACTGGGAGTAGAGTGAAGTCCTATCACGGTGGAACTCTGGAAGGGGTGGGAGTAAGGGTGGCAGGGCTTAGATTTCCTCAAGATTCTGCTTGCTGGAGGGATGCTGACTGTAGGTCACCCTTCTGCTGCTTCAAACCCTCTCATGACCCTTGTGAAGCCAAACTACCCTTGTTCTCCAGCTGCTATGTGAGAGGTCAGAGGAGCCCCTGAGTGGCCCAGTGGCAGGCTGTGGA